TTTTGTCATTTGGGTCCTAGTTCTTGTCTTTGTAACCACACAATAACCCTAATTCCTCTTCCTCAGAGCTACAGTCAGAAGAATTTAATCAGCTCTATTAGTCTCTCTTAAAGGGGGATCTTTCTTCAGGTAACTATCCCTAGTTTCCCTAAACATTCCCCAAGATAGAGCTTTGAAGTTCTTTACCTGCAAGCTTATTCTTGGCCAATTAGTCCCTATTTCTTTAAAAGTTATTTCACTGTAGTTAGAACATATAACATGGATCTACCCTCCTGACAACATTTTTAAGCATCTAATACAGTCTTGTTAACTATGGGGACAATTTTGTCAGCAGATCTTTAGAACTTACTCACCATGCATATCTGAGACTTTATACCCATGGGTTGGCATCTCTCCCTCTTCCTGTCCCCTGGCAAGCACTAGGCTACTTTTTGATTCTATGAATTTGACTAATTTAGAGACTTCATGTAGTTAGGTTCATGCAGTCTTTCTCCTTCTGTGACTGGCTTATTTCAGTTAGCACGATGTCCTCAAGCTTCATCCATGTTGTCATATATGGTGAGTTCCTTCTTTTTAAAGGCTGAATAGTGTTCATTGAGGGAAACTCTTTTATTTCCTTTTAAAAATGTGGCTCCCAGAACTTTATGCCTCCTCTGGATTTCTCTAACCTATGGGGAGGAGAGTGAGATTATCCCTACCTTTGTTTCACTCATTATAATTTTTCACTAAGTATCATTTTCATCAGGCTTCACTGCCGTCCTGAGCCAGGAGTAATCTAAAACTCCAAGGCCTTTTCTTTCGTTTATCTTCTGAGCTGTGCCTATTCCTCACCACACTTGTGCATTTGATATTTTGCCCCCAAGATGGGATATTAAAGCTTTCCCAACCAAGTCTCACTTTGCTCTGCTTCATCTAAGTGCTTTGGGGACCCTAATTCCTTACCTGAATTATCTATGGCTTTTTCTAGATCTCATCGTGGGTAAATACAGAGAACCTGGCTGCTGAGTCCATATATCCGAAGCACGGACAAAAGTTTTGACGGATATGAGGAAGAGGCTATTGCCCTGTGGCCAGCCAGCAGAGGTTTCTGTAGTACTCTGACATTCAACATCTGGTTCCAGACCCACTGTGTAGAGTCAGGGTGGATCCTGGCTTATAATAAGGATTCTGATTTTTTCAGAACTATAAAATCTGAATTGATAGAAGTGGGGCACAGAAATCTGTTTTTTGTTGGTGGTGGTTTTTGTTTTGTTTCGTTTTGTTTTGTTTAGGGCACATGCACTCACTGGAGACTAGAAACAGAAAGAGGAAAAGTAAGAAATCATCCCCCAGGGGGAAGGGCCATGCCATAATCCCTTTTCCTCCATTGTGTTCTTGGGATTTTGGGCATGCATGCAAATGCACTCAGCATGATTTTCAAGCCACTGGATCCCAGACTTAAACTGTGGTCAACCATGTGGAAATCTAGGCCTTAACCACTATACCACCTGCTAGTTCCAGAACTTCTGGTTTTAATAAGAACTCCAGATGATCTCAATGTATAGCCAGGTTTGGGCATGATCAACTCCAGAGTTGACAGAGAAAGACCAAAAGCCCAAAACAGGGATCAGCAGATGTCATGGTAGTTAAAGTACTGGATTCCCATTTGGCTGACCATAGTTCAAGTCCCAGACCTAGCCACTTGAAAATCATGCCAGACATGTGCATGCATGTCCAAATTCCCAAGAGGAGAATGGAAGAGAAGGGATGCTAGCATAGCCATCTCTGCTGGGGGTGATTTCTCACTTTCTCTCTCACTTTCCCTCTCTCTCTCTCTCTGAAGAGCACACGTGCCCTATAATAATAAACTAAGAAAAAGCAAAACAGAAAACTCCAAAACAAATTCCAGTTTGATCTGGTGCAAAGTTACCTACCAACTGAGGAACCCAGGCTGGTAGGATAGAGGTGGACCATGGCAAGGTACCACCTGGTTCTTTAGTCCATCCATACCGCCTACCCACCTGAGCAAGTCCTGCTCTGTGCTCCACACTTTGCTCCTTCCACCTCATCTCCCCCTACTCTTCTTTCATCTTCTGGTTCTGTGTCCTGCATTGAAACAAAGTTATTTTCAATTCCTGACTTTGGTACCAGGTTTGACCTCTTCTGCCCTCACCCTAGCTTCCTGATCTTGGTTTCCCAGAGGTCTCTGTAGACAGCTCTGATTTTTGGCATTTCCCACAGCTTCTGATGAGAAGTCCTAGTATATTGAAATAAGCAACTCTCAGGATACAAATTAACCTTCATTTAATACATTGCCCTGAACCTGCTAGTTTCTGAAGGGCAGGACCTTACTTATTCTGTTTCTCATCTTATTCATATTAGTTTTATTCTCAAGATAGCTACATGGCCTAATACACAATGTGCTGGAGATGGTACCCAGTAGATGCCTACTAAATTGTTCTCTCTGCAGAATTCTTTAGTCTGATGCTATAACTGGGATTAGTGAAAATACCACCAGCTCCTGAGCAGGACAGAATTGAGTGTGAATCTCGGCATCACCCTTTTTTAGCTGTGTCTGGCCTTAGGCAAGATAATTAACCTTTATGAACCATGGGTATCTCAACTATAAATGAGAAGTGTGGGCTAGGTGTCTAAGGGCACTCTCGCTCTCAGGTTCTATCATTTTTGTAAGTCACAGACTCCCCTTGCTGGCTGGTACCCTACTTTGGGGTCCTCAGAAGGCGATTCTTTGTAGACAATCATGTTGCTCAAATCAAGCTGGAACGCTCTCCTCCCAGCAGCACATGGCGTGCTGCCGGCAGATCTGCCACTAGCATAATCACTCCACAGGCATCCTCCAGCCTCCATTAATCAGCCGGTCCTGTCACTTTCATTCGGCTGCTCTCCGCTCACCTAAGTAATCGCTGTGGCTTCTGTCTGCGAATTCTTTTCATCCACTTTTGTTTATCTCTGTCGAAGTGTTTTTTTTAATCAAAACAATTAAATATGCTAAGTTTTCCTCAATTAGTTGGGCATTAAAAATTAAAAGTGCTTGAGAGGAAATGGCAGAAGCAGCCCTTCATCTGGTGCAGGGGCTGGTGCTAAGAGCCTCATTTCCTCCAGGCACTTTTGGCTGGGGAGCTCCTCAGAAACCGATAGCTGTGGGGTCAAGGAGGACTGTGGCTAAAGGGGCTTTTCTGATAAAAATCCCTTCCTTTTTCTTCAAAAGAGAACTATTTATTTTACTTATTATTAAGTTGTTATAGGGGGCATGTGTGTTAATCAGAGAGAGAGGGAGATAAAGTGAGAAAGCAAGCCACCAAGTCTGAACTCAAACTGCGATTGGCTATGTAGAGGCCCTGTGCCTTAACCATCAGACCACCTGCTGGTCCCAGATAACCCCTTCTTACCATAAATAGAAAGCTGAGGCCTACCCATGGGCTTTTTCCAAACTCAGACTCCTGATTTTGAAATGGTTTTTAGTTTATTTGTTTTTGCCATAAGGTGCATGCTTTCAACAGAGAGAGACAGAGTGAAAGTGAGACATCATCCCCAGAGGGTGATGACCATACCACAACTCCTTCTCTTCCATTCTCCGCCTGGGATTTTGAGCATGCATGCATGCACACACACCAGGCATGGTTTTCATACCCAGGTCTGGGTTTCAAACTGCAGTCAATCAAGTGGGAGGTCAGTGCTTTAACCACTGTGCCATCTGCTGGCTCCCTAAGCTTTGTTTGATCAGAGGCCCGTATCAAAGGACTCTTGGTACTCATTTACTATTCTTTTTTCTCTTTCATTTGTCAATCGTTTATTCTGAAAATGCTGTGCTAGAAGATGGTATGCTGCTGTACTGATGAAACAATGATGAAAATACAATTTTTAACCTTATAGTTTGCAGTTTAATGGAGGAATATAGGCAAGTAAACTTGAATGTTCAATTCTCCCTTGAAAATATTATAGCTAATCCTTAACACAGTTGAATGACAGGCCTAAACTGTTTTTGCCTTGTGGTTGTCAGAATAGCACCATGTCTAGTAATAACTATTTAATAGTTGTAGTTAAAAGGAATGATTTCAAAATACAAACTCCAGTATGCAACTTTCAGAAGACGCTTTCAGGTAGATGCAGTTGAATTCTGTAGCATTGTCAGTATCTTGCTCCAGTCTACTGACCTAGCCTTATCTCCCCAGGCAGGCCTATGGTTGGAAATCCAGTTCTGTTCATTTATAGGCTGTATGATCCGAGCACAGGGGCTTAACTGCTTTCACAATTGTTTTTGTTTTGTTTCTGATCTGCAAAATACAGGTTTTTCAGTGAGTCCTCAAATGGAGACAAAGCAAAGATAGTTCATATGAGACTGACAGTCTTTGTAAGGTCTGAAGGGCAGGCAGACTTCCCACAGTAATTTATCCATCTTCTAGCAGGAATCTATTCTCTTTGGGATGCAAAGTAAACCTGGGCAAAAAGAACTGTGACCAACATAATCAGGCACAAAGGACATTGGTAGCTCTGAAGACCATCTGATCCAAAAATGCTGCACGGATTAAATGATGTTTGAGTAGAAGCTTGAGTAGACATTGGATCTGTGCTTAAGAGGGAGAGGAGAAAGCCCTTTATATTCAGAGGCAGCTGGTGCAACATTGCCAAGTGACAATGGTGTCCATCACGGGCCAGGCACTGTGTTAGGGGACGGGGCATGTGGAGTTGGATGAGACAGAATTATTGCCTCAAGGGGGCTCAGTAGAGAATGGGCAAAGGAAAAGAAGCTGGCAGTTTGGAGTGCATGTGCAGGCCATATTCTTTTGCAACTAGTAGTGTAATCCATATTCTTTTACATTTCAAGGAGTACTTGAATTGGATCATATAAGAGAAAACTGAAACTGTTCAAGAACTGGGATTTTAACCCAGATCTCTTAGACTCCAAAATTGAAGCTAGTTTTTACTACTGTGAGCAGGTTGTACCTTCTCAACTGCCTTTAGTGTCAAAGCATTTTTGTTTCTTTGTCTCCCTGCTATAGGTGTTACCAGCAACGATATCCAGTCTTGCTTTGGTGCCTCTTTGGGCATTGAATATGCAATTAAGGATGGCCTATCAGTTGAAGGAAGCTTATCAGGAAAACACTGTGAAAGACCTGGATCTGGCAATACTGGCAAGTATTTAGCAATGGGTCTCCCCAAAAAAGAAACCAGACTTTCCTTTAGACACATAATCAGGACATGGGAGCTATTTTTTTTTTCCCCTGACTGATTCCATTTCAGTCCCTCATTACACTGCATGGATATTAAATACCCCAAACTAAGGATCTGTATGTAGTCATTGTATATACATGCATGTTTATATGTATGTATGCACTGAAATCACTTTAGAATACTTGGCTTTGTGTGGCACACCCTTCAAAATTTCAAATACTAGCCAAAGACACAGGTAAGAACTGTAACAAAAAGGGATATGTAGACAGAATTTAGAGAGTGGGGTATTAGAATGAATGCTCATCAGGTTACAGTTCAGACCCAGGAAACAAGTCTGTCGGAAGATGAGAACACAATTACCAAGTCCAAGCTCAAAGAATAATTATTAGAGAAGGGCTGTCTGTCCATGGATCTTAGTAATATTTCTTGAACAAGTCAATGTGAGTGCTCATGTATTCACGTACTGATTCAGTCATCATACATATACTATTTTGTGGGAGGTAGGAGACACAGAAGAGAAAGGGATTATGAAACGGTTTATGGTATAGTGAGTGCAACAGATACTAAACAGTTTCAAGTTAGGGGCTGGCAGGTGACGTGATGGTTAAGGCTGCTGGACTCCCACATGGCTGACCGTAGTTTGAGTCCCGGACCTGGTGGCTTGCTTTCTCACTTTCCCTCTCCCTCTCTCAGTCTGTCCCTCTCTGGTCAAATTAAAATAAATAAATAAAGTTAAATAAAATAATTCTTAAAATCACACACACACACACACACACACACACACACACACACACACTCAAGTTACTCTAATTGCATTAGATTGCTCATGTCTCAGAGAGCATTACTAAATTGCTCCCCTTCTCTGATGTCCTGGCCTCCTTTCTCCATTTACCTGGAAAACACTCACTTTTTAAGACAACTCACGTTTCTTCCTGATCCCCTCTCCCTGCTACTGCATGTCTGGCCACTTCTTTCTCTACACCCCTATTGAGTCCCTATAGTAACAACTACAGCACCTATAATATTCTACTGAACATATTTGGCATGTAACAGCACTGAGTAGACATTTAATGAGTGAATGAATGAATGAATGACCATCCATTTTACCATCCTCTTTTTTTCGGCCATGTCTGCTCTTCTCCAGAGGATGGGTCTATTTCTATGGCTTGGCCCTTCCCTTCTGCCTTGTACTGCTAATTAACCAAGCAGGGTAGAATAGAAAACAGCGCTAGGGTGAGAGCACATACTTGCCAAATTTCCTAAGTGGAGCTTGCCAACCACTCCTTTGACTTTTTGGGAAATGAACTAATGTGGTTATCCTCTTGATGGCAGAAAGAAACAAGGAGGACACGATTGTGGAAGACATCATTTCTCGGGTGCGAGGTGGCAGCTCTGGCTGGGGCGGTGGCTTGACACAAAACGGGAGCATCATCACATACCGTTTCTGGGGGAGGTCATTAAAGTATAATCCTGTTGTTATCGATTTTGAGGTAAGTCTTTTCGCAGTTGAAGAAACTCTACGTCCATGAGGAATGAAAGTGAAGCAGACCAGATCATTTCATATTTCTTATTATGAGCCCATCAAAGAACAAGATTAAATGTAACGGCACGCTGAACTGGTGGCCTTGCCCAAGCTCGACTACAGGCAGTGCATGACTTCAGACCTGGGCCGCTGGAGAGCTGAGATCAGAACCTGAACATGTGGTCAGCGTCTAGTTTTACTCAAGCAGTCCCAGGAGTTCTTCAGGGTCAGACCACATTAAGCAAATAATAATTTGCATTTGTACAAAAGAGACTTTAAAAATCACATCTGCTAAATTAGGAGTTGGCAACTTTTTTCTGTAAAGGATCAGGGAGTACACATTTTAGGCTTTGTGGGCCAAATATAATCTGACACACGGTAGCAGCAGCAGTAAGAGTAACTTGTTCTTTTTTTCTCTTCTTCACACTCTCGAGAAATGTAAAAAGTATTCTTATAACAAAGGCCATATGAAAACAAGCTGTGGGCTGAAGACTAGACCCAGGCTGTAATTTGTTGCCTCTGCCCTAAATGATCTCATCTCTTCATCACATTAAACCTCTGGCTTTGATATGATATGATTCCCTCCATTGAAAATATAAGGAAAGTGAGGCTCTGAGAAAGCAGGTGAATTGCTTAGGGTCACAGAGCTCATGTGTGTAGTGCCTGGATTTTAGACCGTTGGACTTTGTATCCAGTTCCTATTTTCCTGTATGCTAGCTCCTTTCTTAAAGCAGAGGCTTTCAACCTTTCCAGGTGATTTTGCTCACCAGGGAAAATCTGGTAACATTTGTGATTGTCGCAACTCATAGGGGGAGAAGGTGGTGCTACTACCTCTATAAGGTAGAAGCCAGGTATGCTGCTGAACATCCTGTAATGCACAGAATAGCCCCTGCGACAAGGAACTATCTGGCCCCAAATGTCAATCATGGCGATGGAGGGAAGCCACGCCTTAGATCTCTAACTTCACAAAGGGAATACAACGATTCAAACTGCAAAGGAAGAGTTTCACCTTAGCCTTTGTCAAACTACTTCTGTCAATACATGGAGCAGTCCATCAAGCAAAATGAAAGATTTTATTTCAAACTTCTAAACAAAACATCATTGTTTTCTCACCCATTTCCCTACCTTTGCCCATTTTCCCACATATATTTAAAGTCTAAGGTGTGAGTATATTCTTCCTCTTGAAAACCAACAGTTAAACCCAGTCTATTACAACTCCTTGCTTTCTATGAAGAAAGAAGGCAGATGGATTAACCTTGATTTTATTTCTTCTCCAATAAGTAAGAGACCATTTTCACGCACCTGTAATTCACATAAGGTCTGAAAATTGCTAGCACCATCCTATTAGTGATTTGGACGAAAACTATAAAATTGATATCAGGAGTAATATATAAAGTTTCATGGGCAAGAGATAAACTTTGCGTTTGCCTTGAGCAAACTTCCAAGACAGGTGCATGATTTGGAGAAGACCAAATACTATCTTCTGGTAAAAAGAGCCTGGGCTTTTGTGGGAAAGAAGGAGGAGACAGACATAGCTGAGGTCATGGCTCAGCCACATTTTTGACATGTGATCGTGCAGAAGTTATGTCACTCTCTGGTATCCTGAGCTCTGGTATCCTGTTCTGTAACATGGGGTTAAGTAACCAGCAAAAACCTCATAGCCAACCAATGACAGAGCCCAGCATGAGCCATGTCTGACTCTAACATTCACAATCTGTCACCACCCCTGAGAAGTCTGGACTTAACGCATTAAGCCACTGGCAAGTTTTAGAGTAAGGAAGTGAAATAGCTAGCACTGTGCTTTACACACAGAATGTTCCCAGGGAGATTGAGGATTAATCGAAAGAGAGAGAAAGAGGGGGAGGGACTACAGATAAGGACTGACCACTTAGGGGTTCTTTGGATCCTCATGTTCAGGGAGGAAGCAGTGTTTTCTTCACTTGTATACCCATGAGCTCAAAAATACTATTTATAGCAGGTACTCAGATTGAGTGAATGTAGAAGCCACACCATGTTGCTTTATGTTACACGTTATGTGGGTATATCTTGTGTGTGGATGTAGTATGTGTTGTGTGTCATCTTGTGTTGCTTTATCACTTGTCTTTTCTGCCTCTATTTTCACATCTGTAAAACGGGGACAAGATCATGTCCAATATCTTTTCTAGCTCAAACATTCTAAGATTCTTTTTCTCCTTCTCTCCCGTCTCTGAAGTCCCATCAGCCCTCCAGGAAGGAGTACTTCCTTTGTTCTTCTGTTCTTCTGGAGGGTGCTGGGAAGAAGTATGAGATGGGGGACTGAGTGCTGAGCTGGAAGGTCAAAGGGAAGTTGCCCAAAGGTCCTGGACTTCCCTGGAACTGGGAGTCATCCTTCACCAGGGCCACAGGGCAGCTCATTCTGCAATGACTTCCTTACAATGGGGTCACAGTCACTGGACTTCCAGTAAATGATCTCCCCTTGGCTGGGGGCCTGACCGGTCCTGGCATTACCTACCTGGTGACCTCAAGGGCAGCCCCTGACCACAGGCCAAGGTCTGATTGCCACAGGTTTTTCAGTACACATTTCCAGGAACCCAGTCAAGGGTATTGCAAGAGCCTTCTGTGGACTTTTGCTTCCAGAGAGGTAAGACTGTCCCAGTGAGGCTCAGTCCTATCACTGACTTGCTCCATGACCTCAGCAAGGCACATCCCCTCTCAGGGCCTCAGATTCCTCCCCTGTGAGATGAGAGATCTGGAGAGGAGCTTGCATTTTATGATTGTGTTAAAATATACAACATTGTAAGCATGTTGAGGATAACCATATATACAGGCAATTTGAAAAACACAGGCTTCTTTTTTTAAACTATCAACACAGCTAATAAAAATGGTGCTTTATTGGATATCATTTTTCCCTTTTACAGTGGTATCTCACATTCATTACTTCTTCAGATCCTCATAAGAATTCTAGGCAGTGGGTATTATTTCATTTTATAGATAATGAGCGTCAGGTTTACAGAGGGGCAGTTAAGAGCCTAGGCCACAGAGCAGGAAGCAAGCAGCATTCATTTAGCTTTTACTATAGAACAGGCCTTTCTCATCTATCATCTCCATTGCTCCAATAAACCTGGAGAGTGCAATGACTGCGCTCACTTTACAGCTGCGAAAGGCACCAGCTTCACACAATTGGAAGTGGTAGAGTTCAAAGCCAGTTTTCTGGCTCTAGATTCAAATCTCTTTCTACTGTATCTATACTCAGCCTGAGGCTGTGTTGCTGCCCAAAAGACATTGGCTAATATCAGGAGATGGTTTTAATTTTCACAACGGAAGGGTCCTACTGGTATATAGGGGGTAGAGGCCAGGGATGCTGTCCCCACCACCAACCAAGAACTATCCTGTGAAAATGCAATCGAGCCAGGGTTGAGAAGCCCTGGCCTATGGTCATACCTGGAATAGGTTCCTCTAATGTAAATGACTCCTCACCCAGACCACCACTATCCTCACACCATTAGGAGATTCTCTCAGCAAACAGAACTACCTATCAAGAACTTCATTAATTCCTGCACTGAAGGTCAGCAACAACAACTAATAAATAAATACAAATGCACTATGTTCATCTTGCTTTCTAAAAGTATTGGAGGGGGCAAATGCATTGTTGCCAATAACCTGTAAACTCTCTTCTTACTCTGTAATTGGGAGAGCACACAGTAAGTAGGTCCATGTTCAGAGTGGCTCTTGCACTTACTTTTATGACTGTAAGCCAGTCATCTGGATACTCAGCCTCCTTTTCCTCATCGATAAGCTGGGAAGTTTAGTACTTACTTTGCAGAGTAGCTGAGAGGGCCCAAGATAGTGGGATAAAGTTGGGGGTCTGCCTCTGTGTTTGGCATGGTTCAGGCCTTCTAAAAGCTTGGCAGCCAGTCCTTGGGCTCTAGGAGAGCGAACAGAGCCCAGGGAGGTGCCCTGTGTTCTTTTTGTACCTGCAGATGCAGCCCATTCATGAGTTGCTGCGGCATACAAACCTGGGGCCTCTGGAGACCAAACGCCAAAACCTGCGCCGAGCCTTGGACGAGTACTTGATGGAATTCAACGCCTGCCGCTGTGGTCCCTGCTTTCATAGTGGGGAGCCCATCCTCGAAGGCACCAGCTGCAGGTGTCAGTGCCACGTGGGTCGCTCAGGCTCGGCCTGTGAGCGAGTGGCGACAGAGGGTAAGGCCCACACAACCCCACTCACTTCCAGCTCCTAGTGGCCTGTTCAGAAAGGACCCTGGGGTTCCCATCCCCTCCTTTCTGAATGTTCTCATCCACCACCCTAGGATCTGCACTCAAGTTCTATGGCTGAGCCTCCTCCCCCAACACATTTAACAGCTCTTTGGCTTTCTCCCTGCCATGAAGACCCTTTTTCAAAAGAGAACAGCCTCCTACCAAGAGGTACAGGACATTAGGATTCACTTCTAGAGAGATAAGCAGGCTTCCTAAGGCTTCCATGACAAACGATCATAAAGCAAGTAGCTTAAAACAATAGAAACCTATGGTCTCATATTTCTGGAAGCTCAGTACCCTAAATTGCAGGCCTAGTGGCCAGGTTGTTTTGTTTCTGAGACAGGCAGAATGTGTCCCGACTCTCTCCTAGCTTCTAGTGGTTACTGGTAATCCTTCGTACCCAGTGGCTTACAGATGCTTCACTCCAGTCTCTGCCTCCACCCTCACCTGGCCTTCCTTCCATGTCTCTGTTTCCTCATTTTAAAGAACACAATTCATTGGATTAGGGCTCACCCTAATCCAGGATGACCTCATTGTAATGTGATTCATCTGCAAAGCCTTATTTTCAAACAAAGTCACATTTGCAGGTCATGAAGGTTTAGACTTCAGCATATCTCTTAGGAGAACACAATTCAATCAACTATAAGGGATAAGTAGTTGTCATTATGGTGTAAGGATTTATGACTAAAAATATGATTGGGTAAAATAAGGCTTAAATATATATAGCTGTAGTATGAAAAGACCAGGGTAGAAAGGTTTCAATCAGGGATTCAAAATCCATCCTTTAAAGATGAAGTCTAGGGATATGGATGAGAATCCCAGATATTTAATTAACACATTGTGAGACACAAGTTAGACACTTCTTTCTGAGACTCAGCTTTCTCATCCAAATTTTCTTTGAGCTCAGAGCATCTATACGCATGTCCCAATCCCTAAGCCTAGTTCTCCAGGCATGTAAAACTGCTTATATAGTAGATGGAATGATGGAAAACCCATGGGCTACCAAATGAATGCATAAATCTATCTCAGCTGGCTACTGCAATGGAAAAAATATGAAGGGAAAATAAAGAAGTATGGATAGCTAAATGTAAGGGACCATGAAACTATTGAAGCACAGGATGGATGCAGTGGGAACCGTGTGGTGCAACAATTGTGTGGAAAAGGTAGACCAAGCATATAGATCCAGGTCAATCAGTGAGAGTCAACAGCATGATATAGACACCCCCAAAATGAAGGGCTAGTTTCACAGAAGTAGAGTGCCCAGAACAAGATGCTTCTCTGATGCACAAGGAGCTTTGTCCTTGATGCCACACTTAGCAAAACAAAGTGAGTGACCAAAAGGAGTTGGAAGACTCAACCCTGTGTTCTAAGAGGAAAAGATGGAAAGATTGGGAATTTGGGGTATGGAGAAGAGAAGATTCAGAGGGACAAATTCTACATGAACTACCATGTGAAAAGGGATGAGACTTGTTTCTTGACCACCTAGATTAATTTGTAGGACTAATGAAGAGACGCTATAGCAAAAGGAATTTGCCTTAACAAAGAAGGACTTTCTTCTGCATATGTTGTGGTATGCATAAAGCCAGGGAGATGGATGGATAACCACTTGTCAGGAGATTGTAGAGAGATTTATTCATCCAATGAATGGCTGGGCAAGACGTCCTCAAGAGTTCTTTCATCCCCAGAATCTCTGAGTCTAAACAAAGGATGGCAACATAATGAACAGTTTGAAACTTAAAATCTTGAAAATCATCTTGGCTTGGGAGAAACCATACATACCAATTTATTTAGAAGTCAATAGAGATCTCCTCTCTGGTTTTGAGGCCATGGTGAGTTATTATTTCTTCACTGAGAGACTAAATGGAGGCCAGATGGCATAGCTCTGATGTCAAATCATCCTCTGAATATCAGCACTGCCAGTTTTCTTCTGGGATACTCTATAAAATGAGATATAACAGTACCTTCTTCACAGGTTGTGCTGAAGATTAAATTAGGTCACTCATGTGGCAGGCTCTAATAAGCAAGAGGAAGAGATATCTCCATGCAAGATGGTCCACTTGGTAGAGAATCTGTCCTTGTCTAAATCCTTCCTTTGCTGGCAGAGGAAGTACAGTTTGGGTCTCAGTGAGCTGCCTGGTAACCTATAGGAAACATTCTGAGAGGAGTAAGCCAAAAGGGTGAATGAAAGCCAAAGTCCTTCTGAAGGAAGGTGCAGAGAATAAAAACCATGGAGGCTATCTACAGGGCCAAGCCTGGCACACAGTTTTCTTGTGTGAATTGGAAAAATTCACTGCTCGGTAGGTGGGTGAATTTTAAGGGAAAAAGAAAACCACCCACTGATACAGCCCAGCTCCAGGTCCCCTTTTCTAACTTTCCAAGAACAGCATGGACTGGGTTGCCCTCCCCAACCCTGACCCATCAGCTGGGCAGCTTTTTGAAAGGGACCATATATGAACACATTTATTTCCTCAAGAACCTTACAAAATGAATGATATTATTAGCTCCAATTTACAGGTGAGAAAAAGGGGGCAGGAGGAAGGTTTGATAACTGCTGGGAAATGGAAGAAGCCTTTAGACCCAGGCCGTCTGATGGCATGACCCAAGCTCTTCACCATTACACTCAACTTATTCCAAAAGTCAGGAAATGTTGAAAAGTATAGCGGATTTGAGACAATTTCGGTGACTATCATCTTTGAATAGTGGGGAGAGTGAGTATGTGCTAGTTTATGATTACCAGCTTGACTTGGCTTAAAAGGCTGGATGTGAACCCTGCCTGGGTAATTATTATTATAGCACACCAAGAACCCTTAGAACAAGTGATTTTCTTGAATCTCTGTGTGCACGACCTAGAGACACAGAGAAGAGGGAATATAGGCTACTTGGACAGGGTTCTTCAATGGTCTAGTGTCAGGCCCAAGGATAGCCATGTTGTCCATACAGTGGACATTGAAGAAGGTGGACATGATACTAATGATCTGGTAGGAGGGTAGGGGACAAAAGACTGGACCAATTTTTCAAAGCTCAATTTCTTCTGCATTCAGTCCCCCTTATATTCAGTCAGTTTCAGGCAGCTCATAGTGCTCCATTAACCTTGTTTCAAGGAGGGTGTAGATATCAGGGGACCTTGGGGCTACCATTCTGAACTTCCAGCCTGACACATTGGGCTGGCCAGAAAATCTAAGGCCAGGGACCCATCAGAGTCCAGAAATTTTCCAGGCAAACTTTTGCCTGTGGGGACTGAGCCACAGAGAAGGGAGAAATAGGAACAGAGGACCCTGCTGTGGCTACCCCATCAGGGAGTATAATTACAGAGCTGGAAGGGACTTGGAGATAATCTAATCCAATAATATTCATACTGTGATCTAAGGAGCCTTGGGGTCTTAGGGGCTGCCACAGGGGAGGAGGGAGAGCCTGATAGACACCCCAGCTTCAAATAGAACAGCTCTCCTTTTATCTGACTTAGATGCTGGGGCCCATGTAAAATTTCATTTAGGATAACAAAATTGTGATAAAAAAGATGGAAAAAAACTATTAGTCCATCCTTATATAAGAGAGTCAAAGCTCAGGTTGGGAAGAAATGGGCTTGCCCAAAGGCACAGAGCCAGTAGGAAGCAGCAGCCCCAGGCTAGGAAATTCTATGAGCTGGATTTCCAGGGACTTTCCATAGTCAGTGCTGTGCTCTGAGGCAATGAACCGAGCATCTGTCATCCACCATGGCTTCATTGTCAGATTCTGAGGGGTTTGACTTGCAAATCTTCATACAAAAACCCAGCATTCCTCTTCAGAGAGATGTGTGACTGACTCTTTGCTCCAAATCTCCAGCTGGGCATGCTCCCTGCTCTTCACACCCTCCTGTGTCTGTGTCATTCTTCAGAGAAGCACGGGTCTGCATTCCTCTGCTATCCATCTTCCATGGAACTGCAGATTCCAATTTCATGAGATAGGCTCCCAGCGGCCTCTTCTCACTCTATCCAGAGTTTCAAATTAAGTATGAGGCAGTAAGCACAGAGGTCGTGGTTGGCTGCCCCAAGGCATTTTCCTGAGGAGGGATTTCAGGCCACTGAAGGGCAGTGGGATGGCCCTCCCTTCTCACCTTCCTACAACTTCCACTTTGCTAAACTCCTCCCCTGGGAAATTTTCTCTGCAGGAACCAAAGCTGTTGGGAATGGTCATTGGAGCTGCTGGAGCTCCTGGTCTGCATGTAGTGGAGGCACTCAGCAAAGGAGGAGAGAGTGCAACAACCCTGCACCCCAGAATAGAGGGGCTTCATGTCCAGGGCGGAGTGTGCAGACCCAGGCTTGCTGAGTGCACCCGGCAAGGTCAGGCAGTCTGCTGCCACCTGCACTGCTACTGGATGAAGACTTCTTTCAGCTGAGAGAACATGCAAATCTACAGCTTTTTGTTGTTGTTCACAGCACTGTAAGGTTTCTTCTAGCTTGAGCCTCAAAACTCTTGCAGTCTCTGCCCAGTTCTAAACTGCTTTTAGATATTTGTTTCAGCAGCAAACCCACTTTTTGTTATCAATTTTCTTTCTTAGCCTATAAGGTTGCTATAATAATAAACTGGGTGGCTTTTAAGTAACAGAGACTTATCTCTCACAGTTCTGGAGACTGGGAAGTCCCAGATCTAGGGGCCAGTAGACCCAAGGTCTGATGAGGGCTAGCTTCTTGGTTCACACATAGATTAATTTACCAAGTTCTCACTTGATAGGAGGGGTGATAGAGTCTCTGAGGTCTCCCTTATAAGGGCATTAATTCCACTCACGAGGGTTTAACCTTCTTGACCTAATCTTCCCAAAGTTCCCACCACCCAACACTTTGTGGTTAGGATTTCAACATGTAAATTTTGGTGGGACACAAACATTCAAGTCATAGCATGTATCTTCAGCCGCCTATAACCTGTGACTCTTTAGAATCTATTTTATTCCAAGAAATGATACTCTTGAGGACAGAAATTCATTCAGATTATCCCCAGAGGCTAGGGACGTATCTTGAATACAACAGGGACCTAGTAAGCAACTGTTAATTAAATGAATGAGTTAAAGGATCACTTCATAGATGGAGTCCATATTGGGCACCTTCACAGAGTGGAAAGTGGATTTGGACAGGCCATCTAGGGACAATTAATGCATCTTCTCTGACCCACCCATCTCTCTGGGAGAGCCAACCACAGCACTCATCATGTCTTAGAGAACATGTTTGTTGCATGGAAGCCTCTGTTTATCTATCAGTTTCCCCTACTGTGAGCTCCCTGAAGGTTGTATCTACTTTCCCAGTGTAATAGGAACTCTGGAAATGTCTGGTGACTGACATATTTAGGCACTCTTCAAAAAGTTCGTGGAAATGTGTATTCTAAAACACTATGCATGGATTACAAAAACTTTTTGTGCAAAAATAAACTCATATTTCACTTCCATTTTTTTTTTCAGAAACTTTTTTGAAGTTTCCTTGTATATTGGTGCTTTATATCTGTCCAGAGTTCTCAATCTTTTTAGGTTAGTACTAAGACATATATACATAAAACTATCAAAGGAGATGTTAGGGCCACAAGACATAAAGGTCAAAATATTTGTGGCACACAAAATAAATGCCAAAGAGGCCAGGTGAGAAAGCGATTTACCTTTTCATGAGTATGCATGGCATGGGGCATGACCCAGGCCAGAAGGATCTTCCAATAGGTCAATAGAAAGGTGACCTTTGAGATTGAAATGCAGCATAAGACAAAGTTAGAAGGTACAAAAAAACGTTGTGGGGGTATGCAGGCAGGTATGCATATAATGGGCAGGGGAGTAGTGAACATAGTGAATGTAGATAAATTAAGGCATTAATACATCGAGGACATGCCTGTCACACAGTAAATTAACATCACCAGTGTTACTATTACTACTACTATTGAAGCATATGGTTTAGAAGTTCATTTCTTTACTTTTTAGAGCTTCTATCTGAAAGAAGAAAAAAAGGAAGACTCTTTTATTGCTTTTTATCCTCTCAGTTTGTAAATTAATTTACATTGATCATTAATTTACATTCATCATTTATTGGGGACTAGCCATTACCTGCTGGAAAGTGACCTGAGGCCAGATTGGTTAGGTCAAGTGGGCAATTTACAGAGGACACTTCATCCTGATCTAAAAACAGTAGTTCTCAACCTTGGTTGCACATTAGAATCACCTGGGGAGTTTTAAGCACTCTGCTGTCCAGAGGCTGCACCCAGACCAATTAAATCTGAATCACTAGAGTAGGAGCCAGACATCAGTAGCTTTAAAAGTCCCCTAAGTGATTCCAAGCGCAGCCAAGGTTGAGAACCCTTGAGAGTGGAGAAGCCACAATATATTTTTAGGGGAGGGATTGCGTGACAAAAAAGGGTAGGAACAGGAAGGTTTACCTACACTACTTTATCTAGTCTTATCAAGGACCTCTAAGGTAAAAAAAAATTGGGTCCTATTTTGTAGCTAAGGAAATTGTGTTGCAGTGAGGTGGTGCAGCATGGGTCATAGAGCTGGTAGGCCAGGGTTTGAATGCATTACAGCAAATAACGGTTTCTCCCTAACTCTGTCCCTCTGCACTGGGTCGTTTGCCAGTGGAACAATGTGTAGGCTAGTTCGTGGGGTTCAGGTGGAGGGAAAAACCCAAGGCAAGCAGGCTTACTAATAGGTAAGTATAGTAGTCTGGGCACAAGATGAGATCTCTGGGGTTAAGCAATTGCCTGGATGATCTGTGAGCTCACACCACCAGCTGAGCAAGACTATCTTCCTGTCATGTGAGCCAGAGACCCAGGCCAGCATCTCTCCCACTCCTCTAAGGATGCTGTAGCTCAAGCAGTTTTAGAAATTAAAACGCAGTGGCAGTTTTAAAAGTAAAAACCCTTTACCAGATCAACACGTTTCCCTTTTCGTGAGTAACTGGCTCCCACAAAGCAAAAAGGCATAAAAATCACCCAATGTATTCTCCCTTTGGTCCTTTAAGAAGATCTATAATCTACGGGTTTATAGGTAGTGAGTGTAAACACATGGTGTTAAAGATATAATCTTCAGCTTGACAAGGTATCTTTTGAAAAGTAAATTAATGACAGAATGAAAAGCAATAAGTAGAGGCTATTTCTTTCCTTTTTCCCTCTTTGAAAGGTGAAGATATAGAGTTCAGCACTTGATGAATCTCTTCTGAGCTGTATGCCTTTAGGGTAAAGAAAATGGACAGAAAAGAAGGGTAGGCTTCAAAAGCCACATTGCAGAGAGAGATGGCAAAGTGAAGCCAGCGAATGTCTTGAAAGGAAGTGAGTATGATGCAGATGAACATGTTGAAGGGCACATCTCTTCCCTAAGGAAAATCTGGTCTGCTATCCCTTCACCTCAGAAATGGGACAAATACTCTCTGGTGACCCCTCACGCTTGGTGCTGGAGGTTCAGGAAGGAATCAGACATAGTCTAGCCCTGGAAGAATGCACAGACAGGGGGAGGAGAGCTCTGAAAAGGGTAATGGGCAAGAAGCCTCGAGGCTGTGGGAGAGAGCCCAGCTGGGGGAGCAAGGACCACAGCCTGGAGGAAGAGAGGACAAACAAGAAATGGGAGTCAGAAAAGCAAAGAGTTGAAGGTGGGACACACTCACTCAGGAGAAATGGCTTGGGCAAAGTCATAGAGCTGGTAAACAAGATTGGGGGCAGGATGGAGGTTTCTTCTCAGTTCGTTGGGTGTAGGTGCTGGTCTTAGTTGGGCTAGTGATAGCTGAGTTTGTAGCTGGTTTGGCCACTGGGCCTTCCCTGAGGGCAGCCAATGCTTGGTTCTAGGGAGATTCCCATAGCTAGCTACTTCACAGCCCTTTTTCTGCTTACCTTGGGGTGCTCTTGGTGGTTCCATACCCTGTGGCTATGGTTAGAAAGGCCAAGAATTTCAAACTGAATTCACAAGGTTCTCTCTGGTCTGAGGCTGACAGATACCTCTATCTTTTTTCTTAATTTTTCTTATGATTTCTAATTTACATATAATACTGTACATATTTATGGGACACAATGTGGCTTTTCAAATATGTATATAATGTATAATGATCAAACCAGGACAATTAGCAAATCCACCATCTCATACATTCATCATAACCTTGTGTTGTGCACATTGGAAACCCACTTTTCTAACTATTTTGAAGTACACATTGACTTGTCACCAACTGTCATTATTCTGTTGTGCTGTGGCAGTCTTGTATTTACAAACCAAGTTCTCCCCTGGTCCCCTCTTCACTCCCCTCCCCAGCTTCTTGTATCTATGCTTACATTCTCCACTTCTGTACAGTTGGGATCTTTTACCTGTTACCAATGAATGAAAATACATGGTATACGTCTTTCAGTGCCTGGTTTATTTCATTTAGCACTATTTTCCTCTAAACTTTTTCATGCTGCTTTCAATGACAGAACTTTATCCATTTTTGTGGCTGAAGAAGAATTCATTATTTATATAGACCATATCTTTTTTTCACCTATTCATCAGTTGTGGGGGGTCTTAATGTTGATTCCATCTCTTAGCTATTGTGGATAGTGTTGCAATAAACACAGGAGTGCAGATATCCTTTTGACATACTGAGTTCCTTTTCTTGGGTATATACACAGCAGTGAGATGACTGGATTATAAGGTAGTTCTATTTTTAGCTTTTTGAGGAACCCTCAGACCCTCACACTGTTTTCCATAATGGCTGTGATCATTGACATTCCCTAAAACAGTGCACACACGTATTCCTTTCTCTTCAACCACACAACTACTTGTTATTGGTGTTTTCTTTTTTATTATTTTCAATAATATTCATTCTTACTGGTGTGACATGACATCTCATATGGCTTTGATTTACATTTCCCTGATGATTAGTGATGTTGAGCATTTTTCATGTATTTATTAGCCACTTATACATATTCCTTTAAGAGCTGTCTTTTCATATTGATGGTTCAATTTTTAATGGGCTTGTTTTATTCTGGTTATTAATCCTTTGTTGGATACATAACTTACATGTATTTTCTCCCATCCTGTAGGAAGTAGCTTCACTGTGATTGTTTCTTTTGTTATGCAGAAGCTTTTTAGTTTGATGTAATCCATTTGTGTATATTTGCTATTGTTCCCTTTGCTTTGGAGGTCTCATTTTTAAAAACTTTGCCTAGACCAGTTGCTTCAGGACAATTGCCTGGTCCCGAAGGGTTTTCCCTTTGCTTTCTTCTAGTAATCTATTGTTTTCATCTCTAATTTTTGCCTCTCTTGTCCCTTGAGTTAATTTATCTATATGATAAAATATAGGAATCCAGTGTCATTCTTCTACATATGGATACATTCCATTTTTATGTCCTTTCAGAGTCTATGAATCAACTGTACTAGAAATCTATCATCCCTGATGTTGATGAACAAAGCCCTCTGTGACTAGGCCTAGCTTCCTCTCTGAATTAATTTCTTCCCATTCAGTCATTCCTTCAGTCATGCTGTTCCAGTTATCCAGGCTTTTCTACTCTTTGTCACACATGCCAGGCCCTCCCTTGCCTCAGGACCTTTGTACCTTCTGTCCCCTTTGACTGAAATGCACATACAATAAGCTCATCCAAGGCTCACTTTCTCCTTTCTTC